CTTATTTTTGCCAACAGCCAAAAATTGACAATGAAGCATCTTGGATATAAGCAAAGAACTCTCAGTCCATCTGCAAAATAACTGTCTTTATTATCAAATTTATATCACATTAATGGAGAGACTAAGAATTAAATATTAGGATGAATAGAAAAGGATTACTTGTTCTACAGTCTGTGAGTTAAATCCTTGGTTATTTTATCAAGAATCAAAAGTCCTTATTTAAATTCAGTATCCAGAGACTCTGAATATGAAGTATTGAATCATAACTGAAGTTTGAAACTGAGTCCCAACATATGCACACAGGACTTTCCACAAAACCAAAATATTCTTCCATGCACCAAACCTTACAAGATTACATTCATCAAAATTTAAAGAAAAGTATGAAGAATTGCTTAAACTAATGATTGAACCCACATCTAGATCAACACAGAGAGAAATTTACTGAAGTAAAAACAAGTTCTTCAAATCAGAGACAGAAAAATTCTACTGCAGTCACACAATCCTAATGAACTTGCAGTGAACAACACAAGGAAGGGCCCTATGTGTGTTGTATGATGTCCCTACTATTGGGCACCAAGTTGTTAGAGGTGGACAACCCCAGGGCTATGAGGGTGACCTGCGTGTGTCTTCACCCTTATGTTTTAGGACATGGGACGAGACTGAAAAGCAGAAATCACAGAGAATTTTAAAAATGTTTTATTTACAAGGGGAGTAGAAAAAGGGAGAGAGAGATATCAATTGGATGATATTTCCTACCAACAATATCAACTGAGGTGAGATGCCAGGGTACAAGCAAAATCTGGAAAAGCAAGAGTGACAGCATGCATTTGTTGAGGTTTTAAGGCAAATATGGCTGCTTACCTCTCCCAGTTCTTAAGAAAGAATTAACTACACAATTTCATGTAAGCAATAGAATACCTAACAATCTAAATGCAAAGGTCATATACAAAGACACATAATAGAAAATTATCAATTATCAAACATAAATATACAGATATCCAGAATTTCAAGACACATGAAACAAAATATCTCTTTCAAATTTAGTATGCATACAAAAGACTGAAGTGATGTTGCATACAAAAGACAAAGTGATATCATTTGATGTGAATCTTTGTTTAATTTAAATTTCTACAGAAAGACTGTATAAAATTATACACATAAAGCATAGGCAATATAATGTTGAACATGCATTTATCAAACTATCCATTACAATATTTATCTTGATGCTTTTTAATGTCATAGTAGCACAAATTTATCAATTTTAAAACATTTCAAATATGTGAAAATCATACATACAATCAGACCCAATTAGAAACATTTTACAGATTCTAGAAATACATAATTGGAATACTATTCTTTAGATGGAACTTCATTGTCCACTTTTGCCCCTAGAAACACCTATAGGTTCTTGCTTACAGATAAATAAGAGTGTCCTCATGCAAGGTTGATCCTGAACACCAAAGTTTGGGTTGTATACTATGCAGTTCTTTGAACGTGCAGTTTTATGGGATCGAAATCTGTAATGAAAATAAAATATTAACATATGGGAAAATGAAATTGCAATGTTCATTGATGTGTTTTTATTAAATAATAGAACTTTTCAATGCATTTCATTGACTCATTAGTGGCTCATATTGAGCCAGTATGTTTTTTATACAATAGCCACAGTTTTGACATTTACAGAGAACAATATTACAAAACTAGGCTATTACCTCAGTAAACAACAGCACAGAGTTCAGTCATTTTTTTTTGCATTTGTTTAAATGGATTTGGTATATTATATACTCTACTTTAATTCTGCTTAAATATTTTTTGACTAAACTAGTCTAGGTAAACAATATAGGTGAGACAATTTGTATGATACTGAAAAATACTGTGTTTATCAATGAAAAAGATATTCAAAAACTACAAACACACAGAAAATTAGTCTAGAAATTTAGAAAAGAAGGAAGTGTAAGCTGAGGCTATTGGTGCCAGCAAAATAAAAGCTATCATGGACACTGTTTCCTGTGGATAGTTCCTGTGAATGTAACATCTGTGCCCACACCCACCAGGGTGAAAAAGCCTCATCTCACTTATCTCACAAGTTCTTTCATGGTCACATGTACACAAATTTGATGGTAATTCACTTGTATTTTCCAGATGCAACAAAATTATTATTCTGTTGAATTGAGCTTGTCTATATTATCATGCTTTAGGAAAAGGATCTTAGCTAGAGTTGTGGAGAGATAAGGAATAAGTTAATACAGATCAGAAAAACTCTGAACAGAACAAACGTACAGATCTAGAGGGAGAGCAGAGCCATTCAGCCACACCCAGGTTTTTAGTTCTTCACTGTAGATGACTCCAATCCAGTAAAATTTGCTACTTAACTTCATAAAGTGCTGCTCAGAGACAGAAACAAACAATTATAATTTAAATCTACTCTGGAATAATATTGTTTTAAAAAGTTAGTCCAAATCCCTGCTATGTGGGGTATAAACAAGATGAAAATGCATATATTTGCAAAAATTAAAATTGATGTACAAAATATATTAAATTAAAAATTTAAAAAAATGAAATACTTTCAAAGAAATGAAAAAAAAGTTAGTGTCCAACATCAGATTCAGCCTTTCAATCACAAGCACTTAAAAGCAGTTTTAATTCTTGACTTAGGAGGTGGTCACAAGTCTATTTTTCCCTCAAATATCAAGCCTATCTACTTATGGGGGAAAATAACATAAAAATCTCAGGTCTTCACAGAATGAAGACTTTATCATATATATTACTATGTATTAAATATTATAACGGGAGTTAGAATTTTACTTCACAGGAGTCCGACATCCAAATTTACTCTACAGCAGAGTCTTAGGGAATAAATTTTGTGGATAAAAACTTCTCAACCTATATTCAGTACAGATTCTTCATACAGCTAGAGAAATATTTCACTTTTTATTAAGAACTGGGTAATTTTTATGATCATATATTTCATTTTCATTGTATATCCCATAATGATGACAAAATATACCGAATGACAAAATAAATTATAAAATTAATGAAAGCACTGAGATTCAGTTATTTAGTTTTTTTAGAAAAATACTCATATATTAGATTCTCTTTGAATTCTCTAAATCTCTTATACTTTCTCTGACATTTCTCTTGAGTTTTTTCCCAACAAAATCTGAATTTATCAAATTCCTGATAAAATTTTATAAGTTTTATAATTATTAAGTTAAAGGCTATTCGTAAGTCATTATTTCAAAAAATATTCTTCATTATCTGATTAAAGACTGAATCTAATTCGGCTTACTTAACGAGTACACATTCTTAGGTCAAAAAAATACGTCGGAAACCAGAAATAAATACATGCCAATTCATCTCTGTTGTGCATCTGAAAAAGTGTAGAGTTCTGAGAAATACAGAAAGCGCTACTTTCTTGCCAAGTTTTTGGTTCACTGGAAATGAGGTAACAGTTGCATCTGTACAGGAACCACCTTTCATGGCAAGAACAGCAGTCAGAGTCTAAGGAAAAAAAAAAAGCATAACTCTTGACATTGAAGATTCTGATTTTTTAATATTCTTTACTCCTATAAAAATTATTGTTTTTTTCCTACAATTTTCTAAAAAATTAAATTCAATGTTGAACATCCATTATAATATTTATTTTGACGTTTTATAATGTCAATTGTAAGTGCACAAATTCATCAATTCTAAACATTTCAAATACATGAAATTCAAATGATTTGACACAAGTAGAAACATATTACAGATTCTAGAAGTTCATGATTGCAATACCATTCTTTTTTTTTTTTAAAGATTTATTTATTTTTATACAAAAGCTAGGGTACAGGCCAGAGGCGCGGGAGGGTGAGAGGATCCACCAGAGACAGAGCAGGGAGCAGAACAGGCAGGCCACCGACTGAAATACACTGTTGAGACAGCTGGCGAGCCTCTGGCGAGACAGGAGGGGAGCAGCTGGCGAGACAGGAGAGGTCTGCCACATCATTTGGGATCCTGGCCAGCTGGCCCAGATGTAACCCGCACCCGCACTGCAGAGGCTGAGGACAACTTCACAGTGCCTCTCTCAACTTGCTGCATCGCCACCAGGGAGGCCCTGCAATACCATTCTTAAGGTGGAACCTCCTTGCCCACTTCTGTCCCAAGAAATACCTAAATAAATTGTGGTTAAAAAAACAAAAAAATCTTTGAACATCTATCTGAACATAAACAGGATGATCTAGAGGTAATTAAAAAGGTTTCTTTTAAGTCTTAAATGTACACAATGTTCTTTGTCAATTATACCTCAAAGCTAGAAACAAACTGAAGGAAAAAAGAATAAAATAAAGTGAGAAATAATCACAGAAGATATTGAGATAACATATAAAGTGCAGGCAAAATATATTAAAATTTGTGCATTGAACTGCTGAAATCTTTGTACTATGTTCTGAGTCATGGGAGATGCAAAAGCAAAGCTAAAGATATAAATTCATGGGTTATGAGCAAACACAATTAGGTAATTAGAATTAGCTGGGAAATAAAAAAGAACTTATTTTTTTATTTATTACTTCAATATGAATACTTATGTAGGAAAAACTAGATTATTTCAGGTTAATATTTTCCTTATTTAAATACACAAATGACACATATTCAAAGTAACTCAATAATTCTTACAATGGAAGACAATGAAATGAGACTATCCTGAAATTAGTGTATCAACTTGCAGAACTAGATCACAATATTCCATCATGATTCTGTGTGAGAAAAACAGGAAACTGCATATTTTATCCTCTACCAACCTCAAGATTTACAAAGTATGCAACTTACCTTCCTGGGATTTGAGGGTGGTTCCTGGAGAGAGTGTTGGTTGAACATCTGGTTTATGAAAAGCTATCAGAAATGATAAGAAATTAACTACTAGATACAAGTTTGTGAAATGATAAAATACTCCACATTAGTAAATGAAACCTTTATTAAATGATTTCTTCGATGCTCTAATGTTATACAAACATGACCATAACAACTTACAGTTTTTCGACACAATTCCCAAAATAGCCATCAACAAAAGACACATTACTGCTAAGATCCCAGAAATCCACCTCCATGGAGTGGTGCAAAAACCTATAAAGAAAGAGAGGTAGGGTAATGACTTCAAAGAAAGACATAGGAGCCAAAGATCTCAAAAACAGAAACAAGCACAAGAGAATTGAAAAAAAAAAAGGTTTTGGGTTGGAAACCTCATCATCTTCCCAATGAAACACTAGAAATATGAAGACATTGCATAGAAAACTGAAAACAAAAATCTATTCTTCTGTGAGATTATCTACACTCTTTCTTTTTGCCAAATGCATGTCATTAATGTGATTTACCAATTATTTATTTATTGGTATAGAAACTGAGAGACTATAGAGTAGAAGTGATCACACACAGAGTTATGCTTTGTTCTTCACAGCCAACATTTACTTTTATTTTCTCAACAAAATTCACAAGTGATAAGATTCTTATTAGGCAGTTGAGAAAACTAGAATTCATTAATAATGTTATTTATTTAAGTTATTAACACTAGTAACAACGCAGAAATGATATAAATTTGTCTCCTGGAGTCTTTCATCTAATATATCTATCATTGTGTAAATCACACTTCTGGGGACTGTGCACTTCTCCTAATCTCAATGTATTCCCTGATGAAGTGATGTCAGGCTGCTCATAACTCTGGGGAGTCCTATGGGGAAGAAAAGACAGGACTCTCTGGTCGGGGATGATCAGATTTTTCCAAAACAATTACGTGACACACCCGGGCGACTAGCATTTATTTCACATATTTTGAAAGATGGTTTAAAAGCAACCATTTTGAATAAGACATTTTCTCATTCCCAGAGTTACTTTCCTACAGGAATTTCCCCTCAAGCAATTGACCATTAGAAGATTCAGCACAATCTCTAAGAACAGAGTCAGTAACAGTCTACCGTGTCAGACTATTAATCAGGAAGACCTTGGATGTCAAAAACATAAATGGTCAACTTATATAAACTTACAATCATTGTCATTGATATTTGGCATCCCTAATTTTTTTTAATGCTCAAATTGTGTTGCTCATAATTTGACCTGGTAAATCAATCCCATAAGCATTTAGTGCTATCCCTGTCAGAAGACAACCTTTTAAACTGTTGGAAAAACTTACACAAAATAATTTATGTTGCAGAATGAAAAATCATGAAAATAAAATTAAATGGAAAATACTGATATATGAAAAACCAAAAAATCTCACTTTTTCCAGTCCTGTCCTGAAGTTAGCAAATCCATGACATACACCTTCTGGTTGTTTTTTATTTTTTTTAACTGTTCGGTTTGTATTACACATACCTGCCATGAGGGGAGATGTCCCAGTCCATGCAGGGAAGACTCGCAGTGTGCTTGTTCCAGAAGATCCGGGTCACGTCATGAACTGAGCTCGAGGCTGAGCAATCTTGAGTTTGTGAAGGAAAAATGTAAAAGAAAAAGAGAAATTGTGCATTCAAAGAATGTTCTCGTATCACCTATGTACTGGTGAGAATGGATGGACAGTCTGAATCAGAAGCAGCAAAATCACGAGCTTCTGAAAGTTCTGGGACCACAATACAGGAAATTGTCACTGTAGCTGCCAACGCCTCCCTTTGTTTTTGGTAAAAGGTCAGCATGAGTTTTGTTGTTGTTGTTTTTTTTTAATTACTAAAGATCAAAATAAATTTAAAAAAATATTTGGGGTCTCCCTGGTAGCGCAAGGGGTTAAGCATAGCACTGTGAAGTTATCTGCAGCCTCTGCAACACAAGTTCAATCCCTGGCTAGCCAGGGAGCTATCCACATGGCACAGAAGACCTCTCCTGTCTCACACGCTGCTCCCCTCAGCAGTGTATTTCAGCCAGTGTGCCTGTTCTGCTCCCCACTCTGTCTCTGGTGAACCTTCTCATCCCTGCACCTGTGGCCTGTACCCCAGTTCTTGTATACATAAATAAATCTTTTTTTTTAATTATTTGGGAAACAGGAAGAATATGGGGAAATCTAAATATGTAATTAGTGCAATAAAGTTCCACATAATAGGGGCTCCCCTGGTAGCGCAGAGGTTGAGCGCTGGGCTGCAAGTCTGCCCACAGCCTCTGCAGCACCAGCTTGATCCCCGGCCACAGGCGAACATGAGGAGGCAGACCTCTCCTGCCGCACCCACTGCTCCCCTCAGCAGTGTATTTCCTCGGTCTGCCTGTTCTCTTTCCTGCTCTGGCTCTGGTAAATTCTCTCACCCTCCCCCGTGCTTCTGACCATACCCAGTGCTTGTATAAATAAATAAATGTCTTTAAAAAAAAAAAGTTCCACATAATAAAAGTTTCCTTTTTTAATAAGAAACAGTCATTACTGACATGGTGCTATACGCTAATTAAAGCACTTAGCAAGTTTAGATTTATTTCTGAAACTGACTTAATAATGAAGATATATAAATAAACTCATTATTGGTGAAAAACCAAAGGCATGAGAAAACTAAGAAAATTGTCAAGAAGACTTACATTTGAAACTTGGTAGTATATGTCCATGAACTCATGCAGTTAATTTTAAATCAAGCTTTTTCTCCACATTTGTATATTTTGTGAATTTTCATTTTCTTAGCACAGAGTGTTTGGCATTTCCATATCTTATTCTGTGTTGTGATCCCTGACTCCATAACTCAGCTAGGGAAGTCAGGGATAAAAAAATTTAGAAGTGCTGTGACCTCCCACTATTTTTCCATGCACACACACACACACACACACACACACTCACACACGCTCTAGCACAGCCAAAGCTGGCCTGAGCCCACACTCAGTGTCTCATTAACATTAACCTTCAAACCTTCCTTCAACACTTGCCTCCCCAGATTTCCCTTCGCTTCAGGGCTTTAGCTCATACAGGAAGACAGATCTGTAATAACATTAGTAACCTAATTAAATAATTTGATGGAACACTTATGATGAGGTGGAAAAGATTCCTAACCTTGAATTCCTGAGACAAAGGACTTCCAAGATTCATCCTGGGCTGGAAAATAATAACACCTCTTTATACCTTTACAGCAAAAAACAATAAATGTATAGAAAGCAGAAATGGTATCAGCAGCTCCTTAAAGAAGTAGCAAAGAACAAACAGAAGAAGAATCATTGATTTTACTGCCAACCTCTTTTATAATGTGAATTTTTAATGAATATTCAAGTTTAGCTTTGGAAACTAAATGGACTTTTGACCAAAAAGCATAAACTCCTCCCCCCAAAAAAATTCATATAACACACTTAACTAATTTGAAAGATGGTATTTTTTTGATCTGCATCTGTCATCATATAAATAATGTTGTTACTCCTAATTCTCACCTTATTGAAAAATAAAATTGTTTTAGTTTGATACATATTGTCCTTAAACCTTGTGAAGGAAATGAAGTTTTCTTTAATCCACATGAGCACATTGTTTGGTGAAAATGTGAAACAAAATCATGTGCAGCTCATCTGTATTCTTAGTGCTTGTAATATACTATTAGGATCAAAATTATATTACCAACCCAAGCTTACTAAGCTATATCAGTGACATTATCACCAAGAGTTTTATAATATATGACACATGACATTTAGGAAAAGTGTTCTCTCTCAGTTGATCAATGAAAAAAGAGCAAAAGCTTCTGTAGTGTGGAGCAAGAACACGTAAGGAAAAAAAAAAGTGCTGAGTCTAGTCCCCACATCATTTTATTTTGAATGATATTTTGCTTTATTTCTGTTAATGTAGATGGAATTACTTCTTTTTTATAATTTATTATGTATATATTACATCGTTCTTCCTTTTTTTTTTTTTTAGATTTATTCATTTATTTATACAAGCACTGGGTATAGTCAGAAGCGGGGAGGGTGAGAGAATTCACCAGAGCCAGAGCAGGGAGCAGAGCAGGCAGAAGGACCCAAGTACACCACTGAGGGGAGCAGTAGGAGCGCAGGAGAGGTCTGCTCACAATGTGGGACCCTCACCTGGCAGCTGGGGATTGAACTGGTGATCCAGAGGCTGAGGGCAACTTTGCAACCCAGCACTCAACCGCTGCGCCACTGGGGAGGCCCCGTTTTTCCTTTTTGTACAGTGCATGCTCTCTCCTCTCTCCCACATCTTAATTAAGTTTTCTTTTGGCAAAATCTGGAAGCAATCACTGTGATCCATGACTTCAAAGTGAGAGGCTCAATTTTTTTTATAAAATACATTCAAATCAGGTGTTTTATAATTTCTTTTATATTTATGCTTCAAGCAGAGACTTAAATTATATAAAAATAATATATTTGGCATAAAATTTATATAATACCTATTACAATAAGATAAAATACACATTGATACAATTCACTGTGTTAGGGAGGAGGGAAAATGATCCCGAGGTGTTAAAATGTAAGTGGTTCCTTTTTTGTCAGAATAGGCTTGAATTCTCCCTAAGAAAACTGTGAAGTGGGATGTTTCTTATAAATGTAATGGCTTTCATTTTATACCATGCCCTTTCCCTACATTGTAGGGGTTGATGATGATAATGTGAAAAAAGAGAATGTGTGTGTGTGTGTGTATGTGCATGAGCATCACACACCTATCTACAAATACATAAGGTCTGAAATCTGTATGGACACACAGACACTTTCATCCCTTGGGCCAACTGGGGTAAACTGGATGGAGAAGAACTAATTATTATTCTGTTTTCTTTCTTTCCTTCTCTCACATTTCACATCCGGAGCTTGACTGCACTATGGAATGTGGATGACCGACATCATATCTAAGGTTAAACTCAAAGAAAAAGCACCCACAAAAATGCTGAGACACTTAACACAATATAGAAAGGAAAATAGCACCTCCATCACCAGGTGCTGAGTGAATGTGACCCAGTCAAAAGTTGGTAGGAAGTTTACAAAGCCCTGGTTGAAAGAGAGTCAATTATATGAAATGAATCCCAACCCTGCAGCCCAGAGACACAAAGATTCACATATTCATTTTTGCTCCTACAACTCAGGGCATCTTATGTTTTAAGTAAACTAAATTCCTGCCATCAGATATAGCCACTGAATCTTGCCCTCCAAAGTAATTTTCTCTTTTAATAAGAAAATTATCCTGCGATTCATTTTTATATGTTTTTCTTTTTTCAACCTTTTTTGGCCATTCATTTAAAGAATGTAAATCACCCTCACCTGCCTTCATCTAGGAGAGTCAGAACAGAGGTGTGGTGAACAGTGTTTCCTTCCTAAGTTGTTAAAGATCCCACCTCCTGACACCTGATTTCAGTGAAACACCATGGGAAAGTGCTGGCTTGTCCTGTAGCTAGAGAGTTAGGGCAGGTCCAAAGAAGCCACAATAGGACCTTCTTTCTTAAAAGGATGTTACTATTTTTGATATTTAGATCTCGAAGACAGTTCCATTTGATAGTTCAGAAAAAAATAACCTACGTCATTTTAAAACAAATGATAAAAATGATTTAAATCAATAGATACATGGAGCTCCAAGTAATTGTTAAATAAAACAATGGATGACATTATATATATGTTGAAATCAATATTAGATTATGATACTCCTTTTTTTCTCTAGTCACCTAAGGAGCAAAATATGAACTTATTAATATTCTTAAGTGAAATATCACAGGGCAAGAGCACTGAATATACATATAATAGTAATGTATTCAAAATTTGATTCATTTTTGAAGAAACATGGGTCTCTATACTGGTATAATTACTATTGATCTATTTTATTATAAATTTTCCTAAAAATAATATAGACTTCTTAAATACTTGAATTTTATAAAATTTCTATATTGTCATATTATATAAAACTTTTTCTATGAGTCTTGAGCACTATAAGATTTATATATGTGTTCAAAACTTCAATATCTAACAGTCAAATTAAATGTTTGCATTCATTTTGAAGTATTTTTCAATGGCTCCCAAAGGAAACAACCAATAATTACTCTCTCCTGAAAAATACACTGTAATACTGAAGGAGGGCATGTCACCATCATATGGAAGTGCATTAGAAATGAAGTGCAGTCACTTATTGTAGATAAATATGAGGTATTAATTGAACACAACCTTGTGTCAGAAAAGCACTTCCTTTTACTGGGGATTATCGGAAGGTAATGTGCATATTATACTTATAAGATCTCAGTGGAGAGATCATGTATTTTAATTATATTTATAGCCTTGAAGTATTCTTTGACATTAATTTACTGTTAAGTTATGGAAGAGAAAAAGGAAGAAGGAACAAATGTGAGATAATTATCTTCATGGAGATTGTCTATGTAGCAGGTACCTTCTACATGCGGAAACTTATCATCAAGGTCTTTTTTGTAACTACCCTGTGAGGTAGGTTCTATTATTCACTTATTTTTATAGAAGATGGGATAGAAACTCTAACACAAATTGTTTAAATAACAAGACTAACATAATCCAAGTGGCAGAGACAAGTCATCA